GAAGTTATTTTTAGATAACAGAATAACCATTTCAGATCAACTATCAGTCCACCACATTTAATCATTTGTTGTTGTAAACGATACTGATATTACGTAAAGGGTAGATATTTTTTGAGATGAGTTTTTCTATTAATTTTTTAATTACAACTTATATTATATTACATCTATTTCTTCAACAGTTCCTGATACAAAGAGCTGGTTTTGTGTGTAAATAAAAATTGAAATAATATATGTTAATAATAATAATAATAATAATAATAATGCATGTTGGATATTACATGTAAGAAAAAAATTGTATGTCTCTTACAACCATTGGTTGATACAGTTAGTTGTAATAGATTATTAGGTAATGATGATATCTTCATCTCAAATGGAAAAACTATGAATATAGATTGCTCAAAGCAATTGATAAAGAATCATTTGAAAAAGTCAAAACATTCTATAAGTATTTACAATTTACTTCCGATAAATTCTAGTGAAAAACAAAAATATGGGCAAGTTAATCACAAATTGATATAGTTAAATAACTATATCAAGTACAGTATGAAAAATACTGAATTATTTGCTTGCTGTCCCACTAAACTGATTGCCCCAGTATTAGTTGGGAATATTCCTCCTTTGGACGAAAAAATTTAAATTTCAGCTATGATCGTGATAGTTTTAAACAATTCTCAAGTGACAGTGCGTAGCCATTCATGCAACAAAAACATGAGAAGTGAGACACTACCGAACATGCTGAAATTTCTACAGCTTATCAAGGTGTTTTTTGCAGTGAAAGGTCAAAAACAATAAAACCTTTTATTTGCTCTAAATCTGCTGTGGTAGGAAGGGTTAAAACAAATGATCTTGACAAGTATTTTTATTCAGTAAATATATAGTATTTATTGAATTATTTAAACATGAATGAGTATAATACAATGTTAATTTATGAAACGGTTAAACAAATCATTTTGAGTATTTGTTTACTTATAAGACTTCACGCTTAGCGTCGAGTCATACTCGCGGTCCTCAATCTAAATTCTATAAATTGCCTTCGGACACGCCGAGTTCAAACACAGCCGCACCTTACTTTCAGCAAGCCGGTCTGTAACAAAAATAGCCAGCTAGTAGCAGACATCACATCACCCCTCAAGTGACCGCGCGTCAGGAGTTGCCTCCCTCAACAGTCAGCGCTCGAAGTCGTCATTTCTACAAAGTTTCATAAACATCTGTTGTCGACCAGTTTTACTGATGAGCTACCTTAAGATACTATTTTTCTCGAGCAGAGCTGTAGCTTATAGCCTACACGCGCGTGACAGCTTTTTTCCTTTCAGAGCTTTTTCGAATATTCATAGTGTGTGTGTGTCAGCTCAACCCTTCCCTTGTGCATTTCTGGTATCGAGTATGCGTGCTTGCGGTAGAGAAAGTGCACAGAGAAAACACGAGTTCGGAGAATAACGCAGAAATCTTGAAGTTTAGAGAAGAACATCTCCTTGAGTATCTGAGTATTCGCCTAAAGAACTTTCGAAAATTTTTATAAAGACTTCGAAAGTTAAAAATTGTCACTCAAGGAGCTAGTACTTGTATAAAAATATCCTCTTACCCACTTACGAGTTTCAATACATTTATGTATACGCCATCCGTTGGCAATGTATGAAACTAAAAACTTACTCGGAAGTATCAAGAAAATTTTTTTAAAGTTCCACTGAAAATTTCGAAATAACCTTTCAGGAAACTTTGAACTTTGATGAATTGTCCAAATTCATTAATGAAGCTGATAATGACAAATATTTGGCTGAAAAAGTAATTATGATTATTAATTATAAATTTTATTGCGATTATAACTATTTCATAATAAATATTTAATATTTTAAATCTTGTTTCAGGTTATAGTCAACTTTTGGATTTTCGGTGCAATAAGATGTGACGAGATTTATAATTTGAAAATAACCGATATAGAAAATTTGAATAATCGATATTCGATATCAATCCAAACAGCAGAAAATAATTATAATAGCATGACCATTAGAGCATTTCGTCAACTGATAATTGGATCACCTTTTTATAACATTGTCAAAAAGTATATTTCACTCAGGCCAGCTGATGATTTTACGGAAAATTTTTCATTCGCTCTCAGTCAGGCAAATGTGCGCATCAAGATATTGGTATAAATGAAATTTATGAAGTTCCTCAAATTATTGCCGAGTACTTGGGTCTGAAAAATCCTAAACTTTATAGTGGTTATTGTTATTGACGTACTGGAGCCTAAGTTCTAGTCGAGTCAGATGCAACTTTGCTCAAGTAAGGCAATTAGGCAGTTAGATGTCTGATAAAGTTTGTCATGCTATTGAAAATTCCATGCGCAATAGATAGAACATTTTTGATAGATTAATGAGCGGAGCTCATCCAATTAATACACCAAGCAATAAGTCCAATTTGTACCTAAACCTTCAACCAGCATTGATACTCCTACGACATTCATTTTTGAATCATCAAGCAGCAAATACGTAGAAAACATTTTGTCAGAAAACCAAGAAAATATTGATGAATTTTCAAGTTTGCCCGGGGAAACTTTTTCTACCGAGATTATAGTATCAGATAACAACACCACTAATTCGAATCAGACTGAAAATTTGAGCCCGACATTTGTATGACAGCTAATAAATAATATGTCAACCGCTAGATAAATCACTGGGTAAAACCGCTAGATAAAAACAGTTACAACACACACACACAATATGCAAATAACGTTGTTTCATTATTTTTTTGATCGAGATAAACAAAAAAATTGCGTTCGCTGTGCATCGCCTATTTCTGTTGATATACGCAATCCGACGACAAGTCGAATCCTGCCACGTCTCCGACGCCATAGTCGGATCCCGCCATTTCTCCGACACCATAGTCGGAATGGCGCTGCTTCCGGACTTCGCAAGCTCTTGGTTTAACAAATTCGGATCACGCCCGTTCTTCGTTTCACTGCGATAGACAGCTGCGTGCGCTCCCCGCCCCAGCTCCGCCGGCAAATGGCGCGTCGCCACAGAGTCGCGCCGCTATAAGGCTCACTCCACATAACTTCGGTGGCTCCAGCCGAGTGCTGCCGTCGGCTGTACCGCCAACTTAACAAATGTTAGTGATAGTATCGATTGAAGTTCGATATATTTGGCAGGCACCCGGAATTTATTTTGTTTTGATTTACAATCTTGTTATTAACTTCTTGTGCCTCTAAAAATTCCTCTTGATGAAATGACGCCAGCTAAAAGAATAATTGTGCGTCATTACGCTAGTAATATTAAATTTTTTTGTTTACAAAACAAAAATGTGACATTGGGGCAACTTCAACAATTTCATAAGTCTGTCCTTACATCTCTGAGAGATGAGCTGAATATGAGAATGACAGGTTAGACATTAAATTATTCTTTCAATTGAATTATTTTTACATATATTGTTATAATAATTTAAAAATCATTTTATCTGTTTCAGATGAGGAAATCAGTAGAAAAATGCAACGTCTTGAAGATATATTTATTGAGGCAGATAGTTTGATTGAAGCAAAGAAGAATTTAACGTTTTTACAACAAAGTATATACGAAGGATTATACTTTTTGAAACCTTACATTACATGACACCTGCATCAGCAACATTAACTAATTAATCCACTTTTTCGCACTGCACAAGAGGTTAATAACAAGATTGTAGATCAAAACAAAATAAATCCCAGGTGTCTGCTAAATATATCGATCTTCGATCGATACTATCGCAAACATTTGTTAAGTTGGCAGTTTTACGGCAGCACTCGGCTAAAGTCTTGACTTTAAGAAATTCAAACAAACGGACCTTCTCAGGATTACTTTGCTCCGAGAAAGTTTGATCCCTCTCTAGCCGACTTGGCCGAGGAAGATCAAAATAGTCTTTTCACAAATACTAATTTCGAACGCAAAATCAGCCAAGTAACAAACTACTTGGCTGATGACTCTACGCTCAATCACACAAGGCTCTCGTTCAAGAAGCGGGGCTGATCGAGATTCTGACGAACTTTTCAGGGCTACAATATCACTTAGGCGCGAGGACAGCACCTAACAATTTGGGCGTTCGGCGCCCAATTGTTACGATTCTGTCCTCACGTCTTAGTGATGTGGTAGCCCTCAAAAGGGCTGATTGAGTTCTGCCTTTGGCTCACGAGCCACTACGATCTTGCGGAGTGCTAAATCATTTTTGAAGTGCGGCCAACTACCTGGCGTTGCATCGTTAATCGGATGAGGCCTTTGATTGTTTGCCTCTGGGTGGCTGTTGGGCGACGACGATAGGTCCTTAGCTGGTGGTTAGTGAGCCGCTGACCGGAAAAAAAAAGAACGAAGCTGGAAGAAGCAAGTAGGAAAATAAGGGCTCCTGAGAAATAAATTAAACTTTTTTAACTTCAATAAGGTATTATTTTATTATTAAAGTTGTGCATGTTATGTCTTGACCATTTTTCCAATCCACACCAGTACAAAATATAAATCATCCCAATATTTAACAATATACCAAAATCAATTACACATTTTCCATAACCTCAAAACACACAACACAGCGAGGGCCTTCCGGTCTCTCTCATTTTACATATAGTAAAATGGGTCCAGATGAAAATTCCAATCAAAATAGAGACGATCGTACAATGGATTAGTATAACAACCCTCAAAAAAAAAGACGACCACTGACCTTCTAACAAATACAAAAAAATTACACCGGAAAAATCCTCTTACTTCGCAAAATAAGCGTAACTCCAACAACATCTTAATACAAAAGATACCCGAAATCACCGAATCAACAGAAAATGTTTGAGTGAAATAACGACACAACACTTATAATAATATAAATAGTTTATTTTGTGTAATAAGTTGAGAAACAATTTTGTTGTATGTACGTCCCTACGTGAGAGAAATACTTACATCCTTGGCAGACCCAGAAACCATCGCCCGCCTCAATGAGTGGACACGTGGGATGTATTCGCCAGAGCTTCACTACGATCGTTCCGTCATTATGAAATGCCAATTGCTGAAGACCGTGCCTACGATGAAGCAGTTGCATCAGATCCTTCGTTTCCGAAGGCTCTAGACAGAGTGCGCCGTGACCTCGCGTGTATACGCGACACGCCTCTTATTCCTCGTGATCTGATCGACACTATCGTATGGAACCCAGCCTCAGCTGCTGGTCTTGGCTACAAAGGCAAGAAGAAAGATAACTATGATCTCGCGAAGGTCAACGCACTTCGTGCGCTTAAAGACTTTACGCTGTATCGAAATAATTATCAGTTCGTTCCGGACAAAGCTTTCAGCCGCACCCAATTAGCCTTGCGCTCCAATCCTAAACTCAGACATGTTTGGGGACGTGCATTTCATCATATATTGATCGAAGGCATGGTGGCGCAACCGCTTATATCACGATTACTCGCCGAAGATACCCCGATATACATGGGGAGAGACATGCACAAGCAGATGCCAACAGACATCCACCTTCTTATCCAAGTTGGATTCACCGCATTCTGCCTCGACTTTTCGAAGTTCGACGCTAGTGTAAACTCTTTCCTAGTAGAAACCGCTTGGGACATCATTCGTGAACTAATCTCTTTTAAAGATCTTAGTGACCACGACGTTTTCGACTTCTGTAGGACCCTCTTTTGCAAGACACCAATTGTAATGCCAGATGGACGCCTATATTATGTTACGTCTGGAATCCCTTCGGGGTCTTACTTTACACAGATGATAGACAGTATAGTCAATATGTTATTAATCTACATGTTACTAGACCATTACAACCATCTGGATACCACTACCATCAAAGTACTTGGCGATGATTCGATTTTCGCCCTATCATCAATGCTCTTCGGTTTTGATGATGCGAAAGATTACTTTGCAAGTTTTGGAATGAAACTTAGTGATAAGACACTGACATCTAACGATTTCAGGAGCATCACATTCTTAGGACACAATTTCTATGGGTCAAGAGTGACACGAGATGAATTTACTTGTTTATCTCTTGCACTTTACTCAGAGCATGAAATGCCTACTATTATGGATACGCTCATCCGGATTGCCAGCTTGATATACGATTGCGGCTTCAATGACATGTCATTGCACCGTATCTATCGAATCCTACTACACGAGCACAAAATTGACTTCGTCAACGTGCGGCCCGTGACGATTCAACCACCCTTCTATACTTTATATTGTATATCTTAACAATTTTCTCTCTGCTGGTAAATCCATCGTTATTTTAGTCCTTAGTGATTACCAAACGTTCCTTGAACACTGCTTGCAAAGCAAGATTGTCCATCCCGGTGTTATCACAAAGCAGTCAGAAGGCACAGCCTGGTAGTTACTTTCACCAAGAACCATCGACAACTTCGCTGTTTTCGCGATCAACGCGGATAGAGCAATTATTGCATCAGCATTCTCAAACTGGACACACAGTGATTCAGTTACTGCAGCAATAGTCCAACGAGGAAATGACACAAATGTCGATTACTTTTCTGTCCAACTTGTAAAATTGAACAGTCAAAAGTCAATAGACAAAAGTCCAATCGCTTTTCTATTCTCACTTATAACAAGTCGAACAGTCAAAAGCTGATTGAATTGAGTCGAGAGGCACTTATACTAGTACTCTGAACTCGACCTTTTCTCTTGCAGGCACGACTTTTCCATGGCGACGCGCCACCTGGCGGCTGAGTCGGAAGTTTGGAAAGTCAAAAGGCGGGGAAAGGTGTTGAAATAATGAAGCGAGTATTTTGTAAGTTAACCAAGTTCACTATTGAGAAGTGGCCCTAGGTCAAAACTTTCGAGTGCTCGTCGACGCGAACGCGAAGACGAGAGTCGATGTGCTCTGGCTGGCTACCGAGAGACGACTTCCTTTGCGTGGCCGGGCGCCTCGCTTATATAGGAAGCGAGTGCGCGCTGATTGGCCGTCGCCACAAGGTGGGGACGAGTGCAGCAGTGCACGTCGTTTGAGTGGGGACGCACGCACGGGTCTCGGCGTTGGTGGGGATAACACTCCTAGAGCTAACATATCCAGGTACAAAACTAAAAATAGTAGACGTAACCAGATTCTACAGGAACCAAACCACAGGTAAGGGTGAAAATTCAAACGAAAGTACACGCATCCCCACACTGCAGTACTCATAACTTACATCGGCCAAGTAACTCCTCAATATGCCTACCTGATGAAAGTCAGATATGATGTAAACTACTACCTGTCAAAGGTAAAACAGTGCACCAATTGCTTTAGATTCAATCACGTAAAATTTTCTTGCCAATCCAAACAGAGGTGTATCTATTGCGGAGACAATGATCACACAAACACCAATTGCTTAATAAAAGAAACATCAAGATGCCTCAATTGCCAAGGCTTGCACCTACCCACCTATTCAGAATGCATTACAAGAACTAATGAACAAAACGAGCTCCAGCGGGCAACTCAAGCAGCTGCCTCTTTCCCGGCGACTCGTACTGCGGAGGACGAGGCTCTGGCACGCAGAGAGTCGGGCGCGTTGGGTGCCGAATACAGGCGGGACTGTGCGGGAGGTTAGTTAGCCCCAGGATCGTGTTCCATGGCGGCATGATGACGATCGAGGCTAGACGTTGTTCCTTTGCGAAGCGGGAGTAGCGTTACTCTTCCTCATAGTTACTGGCATCGATGGAGATGAACTGGACAGCTACTTTCTTTTGAAGATTTAATAAGCGTGTCTACATCTCACATTCGTACATGTTCGAAACACTGCTCTCGCTGTCGTCAAACATTTTTTATAGTACTGTGGGGCATAAGTTCACATTTATGGCAAGCTTTTCTGTGGCGTAAGTCGCACATTCTGGCACGGCTGCGTTCGCATCACACTCACTGAAACGCGATTAGTTCAGTCACTGCCCTCGCTGTATAGCACTAAGCGTACTGAGCAAATGTTACAGCCTGTGCCCCAGTAAGTAGTGGGGGGAGTTCGAAATAGATGCGTAGCGACTGCTCTTAAAAAAAGTGCCGTAGCGGCTCTTTTTTTGGTGCAGTTTTATAATCATATTTTGATTGAGCTAAATCGTATATCTTAATCTCCATAATTTTATTATAATTTGTGATATATATTCAATAAACATAACTTGTTAGTGATTGAACTCATTTATTGACTTAATAATTGAATTATTTACAATATGGATTTGGGAATAATATAAAACAAATCTTCTTTTTTACACTGAAAAAATTTTGCATTGAATTCGTGTTCACCTGTGGTCTTTTATATATTCAACAGTTAACTTGAAGAAAGTTCACGGCTACGGTGACAGGAATTTAGGTTCACGGTGAACGCGATTATCAAGCACTTCATGTTGTCGGGGCGATTGGACTATATTGGACTATAACTTGTAAAAAGTTCACGACGATGGTGACAGGGATTTAGGTTCAAGGTGAACGCGATTATCAAGCACTTTTTGTTGTCGATTCGACGATTGGACTATATTTAAGTAAAATCTTACATAAACGAGCCTATTTTCTTTATAATATTCGAAAATATTGTAAAAACTTTGTTATTTAAAAAAAAAAAAAGATTTATAAAATATTACAGTAAAATAGTCGTGATTTATTGTACTTATCAATATTATTTACAAAGGTAACAAAAATATCGCTTATCAGTTATGCCTAGTAACAACATCATTATTATTAACTAGTTCAACAAATAACAATGGTGAAGTTTTGGGTAGTGATTGAACCTCTACATAAGTGTGGCGATTTGTTTCAATGACTTCATAAGCATGAATATGTGTATCAAATGATAGTTTCTAATAAGTTTACACGGAAAAAAATTAATTTATCCGTTTTGTATATGTTATAGCCAGCCAGCTAATAAATAGTGCCATGCGTAGCTGTAATCATCCCGAGTGTTGGCTTTACGGTGGTTCTGACATGTGCATTGTCGATATCGCAATTTACCGTCACGCGTGAAGCCAAATTCTTGTCACAGTGACAAATGATTCCCTTCAAAATATTAGTATACTGTTTTGTGTTCACTGTGTCATAAATAGTTGTTCATTTGATGAATATAAGATGTATTCAAGCTGTAGAGATCTATTATTCAGTGCAAAATTTTTTCAGTGTAGAGCTACCACCATGCAAAATATGTCAAGCCCGAATAAAGAAAACGATGCTGACTTGATGAATTTACATTAGAGCGACTTTTCTACTGAAATGGTGGAACCAAAAAAAGCTCAACCGATTGGTGACCATCAAGATCAAGCTAATTTATTAAAATGAAAAGTTTTCGATAACTGTTGCGAAAAAATTTAATTCTAATGGGCATTTCCATTCAAAGCCACTACTTAAAGTCTTGTTTAAAATCGAAAAAATTGAATCTCCACGAAAAAAATTTAAAAGTTCGGTATTCACTACCGGCCTTGAAACTCACGAGACTGAAATAAGTAATGAAAGAAATCAAGTTCCTACTTCGAATCAAAAAATCAGTAAAGATTTGTGGCACCTCAGTCAACCTCGCGCCTGACGCGCGCATCGCCTCATCTGCGGCGAGGGGGGGGGGGGGANNGGGGGGGGGGGGGGGGACAATTAAACTTCGATCAGTATTTGTTATTTAGTTTTAAGTTAGTCTAGCAGGGATTGGCAATAAAGCCACACATATCAGAACACTCACTGTATCTCTTCTCCTTCGTACCCTATCCCGAAAACCATAGATTCACAACCATTTTTTAAGAATTCAATTGTTAATTACGAAAATTGTACTATAAATGAAAATATTGTTAATAACTATTTGTGCGTAGGAATTATTATTGTTCATGAAATACAAAGTGACCAAGAATAAGTATTGCACGAATTTCGGTTAAATGAGGTAAATTAAGTTTATACACGATCCGAAATTCTTCAGAATGAGGAGTATGATCACTTGAAAATTCAAAGTTATTCAATGCCATAGGTTTTTGTGATATTAAACGCAATTCAAATTTCATCTTTGATTGGTGGCTAGACTTGTATATCGTTCTTAAAACCCATCGAGGCAAACAGATTCTCAAAATATAAAGTGAGATCTTTTCAACAAACCCACAATCATATTTTAAACTTGATATCCAGTTTAAAAACAATTTCAGACATCAACTTTTCAGACTTCTGTGCGATGACTTTATAGGAGAACAAATAGGAAAAGAGTATTTGAATTGGCTTTTACAAAATCCTTAGAAAGAAAGTACCTACCTTTGAATAAAATATTAAATATAAAAAAACAGTTAATACTAGTTCAGTAATTTTAAGTTTCTTTATTTTAATACCTACCTTGAACGATCGTGTCAAAACATAATCTGTGCTTCTATTTTTAAAACTACCCATGCATACTTTACTTACCAGATGGAGTGTGATACACACTCCTTGATATTTTACAAGCCGACGTTACACTATATGAACGCACAATTACAGTAAACTTTGTAGCTGGAAGCTTATTCTGACAGACGAGTTTACAGCCATGGGTTGCTTGTCGTTCTACTATATACGAACTTACCTGAAGGCTCCTTCACGCATGTCTCGTTAGGCCGAGTTCGCTACACTTTGACCGTGTCGAACATCCGAAAAAGCAACTGCTTATACATACACATAGAGAAGCTTCCTTCTCTCACACAGCTAGTCGTTCCGGCATCGTACAAATCCTGCGGTGGTCGACTTTAGACTAGATTGTACCCTAGGTTGCAGGGAAACCAATGATGTTAATTTGAACATGTCAGATTGGCTAGTTAGTCTATCTACAAAGTGCTTCGGTTGTGTTATATTAAAATGCAATATTTTGCTACAGTCAAGCTTGTAAAATAAATCGATCACTTCATAGCTTGCAATTCATGTTTCTTTCAGGTAAAACTCAGGCTTTATCAAATTTTTCATTTATTTTTAATGCAGTGAAAACATGGTTTTACGATAATGCAGATAAATGATGTTTGGTATTTTTGTTTTTTATATTTATAAGTGAGTCAATCTAAACTTATTACAGAGTCATGGCTAACAATCTGCTGAAAAATATACCCAAAAATTTTTAAAACTCAAAAATCTTGATTTATATATGAGTATAAACGTTTAGATTGTCTATGAATGCAAAATCCACTCGGAATCGTATATACAACAGGATAGAAAAAAAATCAGAATAAATGTAAAACGAATAGTAAAAGCGACAAGCAATGACAACGAAGACTTCGACAACGACACACGATCTTTGTCACTGACGTGCATATCTTGAGGCATTCGTCTTCAACGAGCTACCAAAGCTATACACATACGCGAACGTCTCCTTTTGCACCCCCTTTCCGCACGAGTCGTCATAGCTACTTTGCCTCCGGACGAAATTTATGTATGGAAATATCCGTGCTACAACATGTCGAGGCATTACGTATGTACAGAATATCGCGAGCAGCTGCAGGCACTTCTCAGAAAAATGTATTTTACGCATCTAGCGTAGGAGGTGAAAAATATTACGTACAGTATGACTGTATACGCGCGCGTGTGCGTATGTGCCACCTTGTCTACTCATGCCACAATTTTTCAAGGTATCCTTCCATTGTCATAGAGCTCACTGTAATTTTTGAATTTATACCTAGAATCATTGAAAGAAAAATAAATAAAAATCGACAGAATCAATGTAAAAATAGGAAATGATGATTCGTCGAACTATAAGAACATTTTCAGCTTTGAATGATACTCAACAAATATTCAGTTTCATCGATATAGAATATACCTTCAAAATTGATATGAGGCGCAATCAAGTATAAATTGCTGCCTACATTACATGTTGAACGCATCGAAATTCCGATGTTCTGTGCGCTTTTTCCCTCGCTCATGTTTAATGCACAGACGGGAGATGACAATTTTATGAGCCGAAAAGAGCTATGGATGCGATGAACCGATCGGCGCTGTTCGCACATTCAATGCTTCCGCGACGACATTTCGCACCATGCGCTACACCGCAGAGGGCCTAAAAGCAAATTTTTCTCGCGGATGTGCTCCGGCAATTTGAATTTTTAAAGCTTGCAAATACGTGGCACCGTACAGGATTTTTCGATATTTTTTTTGGCAAAAAAAAAAATAAATAAAAAAGTTTATTCTCGGATTGATTATTGGTGAATTGAATTTTCGTTTCTATAAAAAATTGATAGTTTATTATATCAGTTTTTGCAATCAATACAATTTGTTTCATTTATTTTTGTAATGACGAAAAATCTCATTTGAATTTTATGATCATGAATCTAAATCATAATTCTCATTTATAGTAAAATAATTTATAGTATTGTTACCACATGATTTATACATATCTATATCCATGAAAATATATTTTCTAAATGTTAAATTTATTTTAGAATACATTGAAATAATAACACGATAGATATTAATCGAAGAAAATTGTTCATCTGTCTATTGAAAAAGTGTATTGATTATTTTTATGTGGAGGCCGTAGCTCCTCCTTGAGCATTAAATCCAATGTTTCCGAATCCAACCGAGGCACCAGCACTCCCAGCAACAGTCGCTATAGATCTCACAACCTCACCGGCTAAACGGATACCTTCATTCATAACGCTTGTACCGATAATAATTAGAGGACAATTAGCCGCTACTGTGCTGTAAACCTTTGCAATAGTGTTGAGGATTATTCCAACGCTAGCTGCTGGATTTTCACTGTTCAGAGCTGTTTGTATAGCATTTCTCAAGCCGGTGCTTAAATCTGTTGTGATATTTAATGCAGCAACCAAATGCTTTCTAGCTTCGTTAAGAGCTTCGCTCACACCAGGTATGTAGGAGCCCGTACCCGGCAGGCGAAATTCTGGAATGGTGACGTTACCGTTGCCGCCCGCTGTGCCATTACTATTGAGTCCTGGGATATTTGCCAGCAATTCAGTAACGTTCGGAAATCTTGGAAGACTTTGAGAACCTCCTGGGATAAGCAGATTCAAGCCTGGTATCATGCGCAAAAAATTTCCGAAAATCCTAAAAGGATTCAAACTTGAACCACTTGATGTATCATTACTGTTGCTTTGTGCATTTAAGCCAGGAATTTGAGGAAATCTCACTTGACCACCAAGTGAAAACTAAAGTCAAGCATAATTGAATGTTATTTAAAATGTTGCGTGCAAAAGCTTTGCATAGAATGATCAAAGTAATTAGTTTCTACGTAAACTTACTTGAGCAGGATCCAAACTAATGCCACCGGCGACGGATGCAGCCGTGACATAGGCCACTGAGGCCAGCAAAACAAACAAAATGTTATAACCTTTCATAATGTGTTTGTGGCAGCTCTCCGCGAACTTGACTCCATATGACTCGACCTTCGCAAGCTCGTTTTATACATTTGTTACGGTTAAATTATTCTAATCGTCTGCGTAATACGCGTAAAAATGATAGCATCTGTGTCAGCAGACAATAAGCTATCTCTATTGATTATTGATTCATAGGCAAATATTTAGGAATTTCGTAACGCTTACATAGCTTGCAGCTGCGGTGTTAGAATGACGTGATGAATCGTCTACAAGAAATAGTGCATGAAAAACCCGATGTTTTCAATTTTCTTTCAAACAGTGAGAATGGGTACAGTATCATCAAAATAAAATAGTTCTTATGAAATTAAAAAGGAGAATACTTTATAACAAATCATTAAAAGTCTATTATTCTATTTATAAAAATAAAATAGAATGCATTCATGGTGCAACCATCATGCACACAATTCGTGTATTAAAACAAATTTTCAAGAATTTGAAATTATTGTTGCTCAACTTAATGCGCAAAAGAAATTTCTTTTCAGCTCGTCTGAGCGCACCTTGTGAATCTCGCAGCGCAGACATCAAGCATATACGTTATCGTATAATATTTAAATTTGACAGGCTGGCTACAGAAAAGTTTTTACAAAAATTTAATAATACATCTCAGATGTTGCGAATTTGTTAAAAGTTTTAGTAAGTATATTAGTTTTCTGCCTCGAGCAGCTTTTATGTAAGTTTTCTTGTTTCTTTGTGCGCATCTGTTTATTCGAACTTCTTTTCAGTATTTACAAGTGAACACTTGGAGCAGTGACGATTGATTTTGCGTCAAATTTTGCTTCTTGTACGTGGCTAAATAAATACAATTGACTCATTGACTGAAGAAGCGCAATAATTTTTTTTACGACAAAAGCACACTCAAAAATGCATTTTTTCCACTCGTTGCACGAGAGATGGCATGGTGCACAAAAGCTTTTAAGCATCGTACCTTATAAAGCCGATACTTAGCATGGGGTAACAGAGGATAAGAAGCAGCTGTAGGGTATCGCTCGCTAACTCTCAACTATTCCTCAGATCTTCGTCCCGCGGATCGCGATGTGCGCGTGCGAAGAGAAGAGAACAAGCAGGCGCAGCGGAATTCCGATTCGCGCGCTTGGCCGCGCACGCCCACCTCCCCCTGTATTGCTCGGCTGCCGCTGCTGCCACCGCCGCTGTACAGTGCACAGAGAGAGAGAGATATAGCTATTTACTTGCTGCACGTGCATGGAGAGGAAGGGAGGTACCTCCCGTTAAACGACTACCCAGCCAGGAGAGCGTTGCGCCCTCAAAGGGCGTGCACCCAAAGAACGAATTCACTTTTCTCCTCGATTATGCTGCAATTGAATATTTTGATTTCTCCAATCTGTTATTAATTTAATATTGTAATATAATTTAGCGAAAGTTTTGGCCAAGGGGTTATTTCATAAAAATTATAAACTGATTCTGGGCATGGATGAGCAAATTTTCAATGGTTTTATGGAATCAGTCGCTTGGATAGAGTTACTTACGTATAAAAATTACTTGGCATGAAGATAAATAAAAATGGTAATTTTTTCAGACTCGCGAGAAATATTTTCATCGTTTCGTTGTCTTTGTCCCTGAAACAAAATGAAATTTTAAAAAGCTCACCCAGTGTGTATCGAAGGAGAGCATCTGCCGGGAGAGTCTGTTGCTGCTACACATACAAGCGAATGTGTTGAAAAAATTTATTAAATTTGCCTCCGATCAGTACACTCACTCGAATTAACTAAGCTGAAAGTTGCACCGAACGCCATATCGGCGATTCACAATATGGTTAAAAAGAAGAGAAGTGTAAAGAGAACGAGGAGAAAGACTTCATATTCTCGCAGCGTCGTAGGGTAACTTTTATAACGCTCGAGGGATTCTAGATGGCAAGTTCTGGGCAATCAATGCCCGTCTGTTATTTAATCCTACTTTCGTTCGTCGTCAAACGAATTTTTTCGAGCATAACACATGTGTATGCTATTCAAACTAATTCGTGATCTTGTTCTTTCCGACATTTTTGCATTCAAAACTTATGATATACTTTTCACTATTCAAAATTATGTTCAAATTATATATTAAAATTCACCGATTTGAGTTTCTGATTTGCTTCTAAGTATGAAACACCCATACATGAAGATATATCAAGCATAACATAAATTGTTTCTCCTTCTATTTTATCCAAATTTATGATTGCAAGCGTGTATTTTGTAGTCCAGTGAAACCCAATCCTACGAAGAAAATCCACTAGCTTTCAAAGCTTGAAACAGGGCAAACACCTTTACACACGCTGTACATCACCAAGTTAAGAAGGTTAAGAAAAAAAATCTCGACTTTGCCGTGGTGCAAAAACTTTGATTTATGTTATCTCGTCCTGCAGTGACCGCAAATAATCTCAAGCATCTATCGCATACAAGCTAGAAAGCAATTTCGAGTTGAAAATTGAGAAAAAACGTTAAAAAAATATTAGAACAAATCATGTCCGAAGATTATACTTCTTTCTCGGCTTAAAATTCTTAAGCTTATTATGATTACGTTTAATACCTTTTCACTGGTTAATATTTTTTTAGGCTAGAGAATAATTTATTTTGATTTCGCAACGAACTAGTTGACCATCAAATATTGCAAAGATCAAACTAATAGTGTATTGAAATATTCAATCATCTTGTACTATATAAGTTCAACTGGAAGCAGTTGAAACCAGTAAAACAAGGTAAATACAAAATTGAGATTGTACTTTCTCTTTTTGTGTCAAATCATTCAAACGGCACAAATATTAATCGAGGATTCATCATCGAGGATTGAGTAAAGTCAGTACATCTCGTTACTTCTGGACATATTACGAAATTTCAACCAAAATGCTCAATCGCAATATGTTATGCATTTATGTGTGGTGCCCAATACTCGGTTGTATTTTAAATCGCTTATCTATATACTCCGAGCGACAGAAATTAATTTTCGCTCTGCGCGACGGTGATTTGCACGTGGCGTACGGAAATTGCTGCGTACTATCCCGCCCGCGCGCTAGACCCCTTTGTCATCGTTGCAGAAGCGACGACGACGCGCTTAAACGTAAGCAAGGCGACTTGACAAAGATGAGACTGCGAGAGACACAGGCGAATAAGACATTTGTACTTTATTGGGCACAGATGCGCAGGGCATCGAGATTATATGTTGACAGCTTGATAATGTCTGACTGAGTCGTTGAGTAGGAAATATCGCAGTATTAGAAATTTAGAATTTAGAGATGCTTCACTGTACATAACAAATATTATCATGAAAAATGTTGGCAATTTTAATAATAAAATAACTTATGAATAAAATTGATAAATCTTCTCACTTTTTGGAAAATGACGCAAGAAAAATTAAAAATTAAATTAAAAATATACAGTGAAATGCATAGTTTATTTATTGAAAAATAATGAAAATCGTAAAAGCCATTAAAATGTCTGTCCAATATGTTATGTATACACTTATATGGATGCGTTCGTATACATTTTCCGTTGAAAGCCAACAAGTTTACAAGTAGAAGACTGCAGTGCATCGTGTCTGATATTTGCTGATCAAACAAACTTCGATAACTCGATTATCATTATTATTCTCCTTACATAGCCGATAGCTGTATATAAACGTGATAAGTATAATAAGTTTCCGTAACTAGTTAAAAATCAACACATCATGGATTAACGCAAATTAATGCAAGTACAACACATTAATGAGTAAATTGTTACACGTCAAAAACACTGTTGAAAGAGTCATTGAATTTTACGACTATTCGTCTCCTGTACTTACACTGTAGCGCATCTCCGAGAAAAGGAATTGGTCATAATAAAATTCAATAGCGAATTCAATCAAGCTACCAAACCTGAACTTATTATTTTCACGCACTCTTCACTTTTCACTTCGAAATTCAAAACCGACCGCCAAATATCGTATCCCAAGAAAGGAGCTCCCGCAAGTGTCAATGCACTTTCCCGAGTACGCCTATGAGCCATGATACCAAATAGGTCGCATTGAAGGCACGTAAACCGGAGTGTGCGCATTTTTACTATTACGCCATTATTTACTGGGCTCATTATACAATTGGTATTGGTATAGCTCACATTTGTTGAGCCATTGAATTTAGACGATGGACAAAAAAAGCTTTCCTCATGAAAATGAGTCAGAGGCAAGCCATTAGAGGCAAGATGTTTCTCTCTCTCTTTCTGTTACGTAGTTGCTACAGTGCGAGGATCATTAGTAGGTGTATACGTTTGCAAGTCATGTCGGACACGTAGACTCCACTTTTGCCTGTGTAATGTATAGACGCATTGGTTCAATAGCGCGCCGAGCTACACAGAAGTGCGTGGCTCGCGCGCCCGAGGGAAAATTTGCGCGCGAACTGCTGCAAATGTTACACAGCAGAGATATCACACACAGGCGGGTCCCTTTTTGTGTATGGCAAGCGAGCCGCGCGCACCACCACCGCCACTAGCTGCGCTTACAAAAAGCAGCAGCTATACGTGGATGTATAATATTCGCGAGCGAGCGCGCGAATTTTCCCTCGAGCCAAAGCTCGAAATAAATCCCATCAAGAGGCATCGCGCGTCGGCTTTCTCCTTCTCTCTCTCTCTATGCAAGCTATACCCACTGCTACAACTACTACTACTGCTGCTGCTGCTGTAGAGAACGCAACGCTTCTGACACCAATTCAGGGAATATCAATTTAATGGCCGGATGCGAAAGAGCCGTCTGTTCGGCTGAGAGAGAGAGAGAGAGAGAGAGAGACTTGGCCCTGCCACTAGGTACGCGTGCACGACCTGACTCCCTGCGACTGTATTTTACATTGCGCCTCGTTGTTGGCAATTTGGGCGCGGCTTTGCCGTACTATAAACTATGCTATATATGTATCTCTCTAAGTTTAAATGTGTATACGCGCCAGTGTATGAGTTTACACTTTATACGAACGTGTGTATACCGCTGCTGCTACATAGATACTATACACAGTCTCTCTCTCTCTCTCTCTCTCTCACTTTGTAATGTCGGGGGTTGGTAT